CTTCGAATTTTCTTCGCAAAGCTACTTTAGCATTGGACCTAATAGAGTTGCAAATTAACACTGACCCGCCCACTATTCTCCTCCAGAGGTGGTCCTCCAAATATTGAGCACAAAAGTTTTCCTTCGTCTCGCACTTCTTCCACTTGGCGAACATCTGGTTTTGTCGGCTTCGTAGACAAGTGCGTAGTATTCGCAATTCGACGTCCAATACTCGGTGACTGTCCTCTGGTAAACCGCATACGTCGTGTAGTCGTCTTCGGTTGATGAAGTTCGGAACGACTTGATGTTTTAGACAGCGGCGGAGAAAGTGTATTGACTGTCAAGCTAAGACGATCTTTTGTCATTTGTCTAAAAGTCATTTTTTTCAGGTCGTTTTCAATAGACTGATCTTTCAATTCACGTCGTTGAAATCGGAACCATCTCTCTGTCTGCTTGTGCTTGGTGTTGTAAGGAAGGTCTCATTGCACATGTACATCGTACAATTTTATACGTATTTTTAATCACCAGCTTCTCCTCACGGATCACCCCCATATCAGCTATCTCGAGCCGGTTAGTCGCGAGGCTACGTGGCGCGTCCCCAGGTGGCGGATGGAGGGTTTGTCGCGGACTAAAAGCTACTTTTGCTTCCCTGAGACGCAGGTGGATCCAGGGAATAGACTCCCTGTTTCTGCTGTGCCGATTTGGCACATACTTTCTGTATTTATGAAACATATTCATGCATGTGTACGTGGAGGCGCCCTAATTTATGCGGACTCTATTCTACGAGCTTATTTGGCCAAAGGCCTGCATTCAAGTGAGAGGGAAGTATAAAGAAGGCGGTTAGGTGTTGCCTCCAACAAATAAGCTCAACGCCCACCCTGGAAGGGATTGGCAAGCTACCTGTGAGTGTACTCAGCCCTCACGTTCAAAACCCAGCAAGCGATAAATGGGTATGAAAAAACTAAAACCAGGAAAAGAAACGGGCCTCATTGTCCTGACCCTGAATGAGCCCTCAGTTTGGCAGCGTTGGGTATACGGAACGGCTGCTAAAATCTCAGAACTATTCTAAGCTGCGTAAACCGCAAAGAACTAAGGTGACCATCTGCACCCACAATGCGCGCACACTTGTATCGTAGTTCTCGATAGAGGACTTGCTCATGCAAGCAAGAAGAATAAAGCAAGAGGTCATCGGAGCCGAGGCGATGCCACCCATTCAGCACCTCCTATAGCACTGGAAAAAAACTGGTTCCTCTGAACATGTGACAGCAGAGGAGTCGGCGGCATTTGTGTTCTCGCCAACACGAGTTGGTCCATGAACGTCGATCCATTCGAACAACTAACAACCCGAATCGGACGCATACGATTGAACAGTTGTGGATCAATATCGACCTTGACATATATCGTCATTTACGCTCCGACATCAAAGTATAACGAAAAGGAAGTCGTAGCATTCTCTGTGGCCTTGGAGAAGTTCTACAGAGAAGACCACACATTCTTCAAGGTCATCATTGGAGATTTTCACGCTCTGATTGGACCAAGAACAACGTCTGAAGAACGTTACATTAGGACCCACTGATTGGAATGGAACGAGCAGGGTTAACGGCTACTCGAGTTTACCATGACGACCAAGAACATCCATGGTAATACGCAATTCCAGAAGCCTGCCCTCAACGCTGGATGTAGGAGTCTCCCGGTGGAGAATAGCATTACTAAATAGACTAAATCATAGTAAATCGAAAGTTTTGCCTTACCATTGGCGCTGTTGTCCTTTCGTGGAAGATTTTTTTTTCGTGGAAAAAGGGAAAAGCCGCTAAATTCAAGAAACGAGGTTCCAGAAAAACCGTGAACTGGGACTTATTCAATTCAGTAGTCCTCTGTTCGGAAGATGGCGTTCTGGACAGCATCGACTAGCAATATGACCAGCTCGTTCAACATCTTCACGTTAGCGCTATGAAATCTGAGATCTCGAAAATCACTATGAGACGTTTGTCGCCCGAAGTAATCGAGCTAATAAGCCAGCGTGAAATCTCACGAAATGCACGTAGCAGGCAACTCATTTCAGAACTTCCAAAACAATGCAGACAGACGATAAGGGAACATCTTTTAGAGAGAAGAGCAGCAACTATGGTCGAAGCTGCAGAGGCTGAGAAAAGCATTCCCAAAACCCACCGATGCTTAGCCAATTACAAGACCAAGACGATTGCACTCCAATGCCCAGACGGAACAGTTACAGCGTCTTGAAAGGCAATGGAGAAAATCATTCATGAATACTACTCAGATCTCTTCACTAGCCACGTTCTCCTTCTCATATAAAATAAAGGAGGACTGATATGTAGTGCCACTGGTTCTCCCATCCGAAATCTGACGTTCTATTTCGTCAGTGAGAAATTGAATAGCGCCCGTCCAGAGAGTGTAGGATCTGAACACTTAAGGTGATGAAATCTCCTGGCGTTGTTGAGCGCGCAGTCGAAAGGACGAGATGTTAGGAGTATCCTGTTTCACACAAATAAGGGAAGGGGTTCGAAGCTCGGACCTGCGTCAACGATCGAAAATCAAAGATGCCGTTTTGTACGCCAAACAGTCGAAAATAACATGGGCCAGACACGTAATGTCTATGAATGACAACCATGGAGAAAAGCCGTTAGTGACTGGATTCGTCGAGATGTCAAACGTACTGCAGGAAGACCACCGACCCGATGATGAGAGTTCTTCACAAAGAGCCCTGAAGAAAAATATGATGCTCGACGAATCCCTAGAGCGAGCAGAACTCACTGGGCTACTCTTGCACGCAACAGGGAAAAATGGAAGATTTATTGGCGCCTGCTCGAGTCGCTCAACGATCAACGGGACTACAAGTAATACAGGTGGCAGATTATAAGCTTCACCGTGACTTGAAGAAAGAACTTATAAACGAGAGATAGTTGGCGAATTGAAAAATGCTTCCAAGTTACGTTTATGTCTTTTTTGCCAAAACAGTACTGCACTGCTGGTTCTTCACTTTTCAGGAACCGCGTTGTGACAGGTAGTGTGCGAAAACAGAGTGTGTCGTTGTGAAAATCATTGTTTGGGTATCATATGTCATCCTATGTTTGAGTTCCAGGCTTTTGGTTTTTCTAGCACTTATGAAGGTGCTGAATTATTCGTTTTCCTTGATTTACTCTGTGGAAAACGATGCCTTCTCAAAAGTCGTTCAAATGAATTTTGATTGGGAACAGCTCTGAAATTGTGCTCTTTTATTTTAGTTCCTCTCGCTTTTTGATGGTAAGAATCGCGCACAAAGGTGGATATAGTCACATTCCGTAATCTCGTATTCAAAATTCGGCGATATCGGCCCAGCAGAGCCACTGTGAAGGCATGTTAATCTCGTACTTGTACACGCTGGCGGGATAACCTCACGTTCAACTTTGAAAGCAAGTTTGTGTAGCTGTACGTTACCATTAGTGGCCTTAGTTGCTGCGATGATTCCTTAATCTATCTCACTTTTTTCGTGCGTTGTGAAACTTTCTAGTCTGCATCTAGTTTTTTAGCTTCACATGGAGTACTTTCGTCTCCGTTTTAGTATAGAGTTCTTGGGTTTTGAATAATCAAGGTGTTAAGACCATTGCTTCCTGCGTATTTTCCATTACGAACTTCTGCTTTATGCTCATATTCATTCTAACTGGTCGATGCGTTCAGTATGTATAGAGGAACATCAGCTCCTGTGCTCCGGATGATTTACAAAACAGTTCATCTCTAGTATCATTAAATGAGTCTTGTCGGTCCAGCGATATCGTGACCGAACTTTTTTCGCTATATCAACAACTGCTTATGGATAATATGGACATTTTAAGTGCGCGTCGTACCCGTTAACCTCCTCTATCTGGCAGCCTGAAATACCTTTGAGACTTTAATTACGACTTTACTCAAATATACTCAATCATCACAATTCATCCATATCAGGACTAACCTTGAACGAGGGAAAAGAAGCTATGTGTTTTAACAGTTTCCAAATTGCACCGAGAAGCCGGGTTCTTTCGTAAAGGGTTGAATAGACCACCAGGTAGATTTTAGTCAAGATTTCTCATTGAAAGCACTGACTTTTCAAGATCTCCAAGTAGTCCTCAAAATCTCTCGCCTTTCTTTTCTAATGATTAAGCGCACGTTATTTATCGAACCAATGCGCAAGATACAATTTTTAGGCATATATGCACACCCACATACGTAGGCATAAATAAAGTGAAAAGCGTCCTGCGTCGATCAATGCCCGCAGCACGCGTAATGCATGCGACTCAACTGAATATCGTTAGAGCTATTTGAATGCATTCCGAGCCTATACAGTGACTGGCTCTGGACTATCGGTGTAGCAAGTCAGTGCTGGTCTTTTGCCAGATAAGCCCGGTATCAATTTGCCCACTCCGGAGGGGTGAAAAGCTTGATGAACTCGGAGCACGGGATCGAACATGGCGTGTACCGCGGGGCACCACTAACGACTGCAACCATGATGAAACGTATAAATCAATTCTGCGCAGCAAAGATAGGAACTCAACACTTGGATCTATACCTCAACGAAGTTGGTGTGTCATAGCGTTTAAATTTGCCCAATTAGTCAAACTGGTAAAATAGTCTTGCGCTATCGATTCGAAAACTCCCTAAATAAAGGTGTACACAGCCGAATGATTTAAATCACTTTATTTTAGTTTGCTTTCGGCCTCATCTTGACAGCGTCTCTTAGTGATGAAACGCATTTATTGAGACTAAATCTGTTGCGGAGATGTACACAAAGTAGGAATAGAAAAAGCCGCCGTTGTTACGTATTGTCGACGATATAGATGAGCTACTCGTCAACTATTAATTGCCTTAGTAAAAACTGCATAAGCAGGCTTCTGTATAATCGTCCATTGTGCACATATATATATAATATTATATGTACATATATGTATATATAAAGAAGGAACAACGTGCTTAATTGCTGTAATGGGCTTGGAGCTTAACTAAACGTCAGAAGTGCAATTGTTAAATAATTTTCAGATGGATATTTTTTGATGGCGGGTTCAGAACAAAAACTTCCTCCAATGTATTCGGCACTACTAGTGAGCGATCCGATTCAATGTCAAGAAGGCGATGGTGTTCTGAAGCTTAAATTCTGGACCTCACCGAATGTGAAGGTCAAGGTGTGTATAAGGTGAGCTACCATGATCAAAATGTAATTGACCAAAATGATAACATCCATTTATGAAGGGTTGGGCTCCAATAAAACGAAAATGGTCTACTGAATGTATAGTATGCACTTTGAATCACTATAAATTAACTCTGAGAAAGGTATTTGACCAATTTGTGATTAAATCGGTTACTTAATCAACGAACACTGGTAGAAAATGTAATTTCCTTTTATATTCATGTATTCTACGCAAGAAAAGCAGTTCATAAAGCGACAAGAAAACTGAAATGTTTCCTTAAAACTCACTTCTCTGAACCTCAACAATATTCGATAACTTTTACATGATTGAGCTAACATGAGGTTGGTACAAAAGTTTTGTTCGACTAATGCTTCCGTGGGCGGGTCTGACGCAGTGGTCGGAGGTGTCCTACAACACACTCCCGGAATCGATCCCAGCGCCCATGCCCAACCAAGCCTTCCATACCTCCGAGATCGGCAAATAGGTACCAAATTTAACTGGGACGATAGTAGCACTGGCCCGATACATCGGTAGACCACCGTCATTGTAAAGGCCAGATATGCATTCAATCACCTCCAAACGATGCTTAATGAAGTCGAATGCATGGCGCATCCTTTATGGATTGATTAAGGCCGAGTGCTTTATCCTTTTATTCTTTTAACACTTCCGCACCTTCGTCTTCCTTAGAACTGCATTGATCCTAGTCCGAGTCCATGGTCCACAGTTGGCCGTCGTCGCCATGTAGGTGCTCGTTGACGCACCGAGTCGAATCTAGTGGAGTGAGAGCACCACTCCATCGGATTCCCCTCAATGTGGCATGAAAATCGGTTTTAAGATATTACCAAGCTGGGTGCGGGGAGACGGCAATGCCCATGGAATCGGTCTTGCGCCACAAGCCCACTAAACCCTTCTCTCTTCAGACACGGCAACAAATTGCTAGTAGCAGACTTGTTGGGAGCATAGCAGTACTGATCCGATACAGCGACAGGCCACGGTGAGTAATTGTAAAGGCAAGATATGCACTCAGTCGCCACCAAACGATGCTTAGTGAAGTCGAATGCATAGCGCATCCCTCAGGGATCGATCAACGCCGACAGCCTTAGTGCCTTTACCACGTTACATGCCAGCAAATGAAGCACCGACTGGTACGTAACTCGTTACCCACCAAATTGAAGATCATATTGGATGGTGAGAATCGACCGACACTCGTCCTTTACAATATTGCACCGCCGAGTGAAGTTCCCCATACGAGCGGTGTTCATTGCATTCGATTCGACTCGATGCGACAACGAACACCCACTTCGCGACAATGACCAGCTGTCGACCATCTACTTGGATCAGTACGACTCTGAGAAAGGCGAACGCGCAGAGACGTTGGCCGAATCAAACTTTCAAACCAACCTCGTGCTAGCTCAATCATATGAAAACTTATTGAAATGTTCTCATTCGTAAAGTTCGTAGACGGGGTCTTCCAAACTAATGTTAGATAAGGTACGAACCGACTCGAAATGTTGACCGTATCATTAAAAACTGCATGCTCTTTGCTGCATTATGCAGTGGCGTTGAGAGTTTTTTCTTCAATTTGATTACTTAAAGGCCACCTTCAATGGGAAAACGCTATCAGTGGTGTAGTAAATCGCTAAAGAGAAACAACACCAGATTTGCTAAAGTCGTTATACCTGGAACTATTTGGTATACATTCGAAGTAAGTATTGAATATTATAACAGACGTATCTTTCGTTATGAACGTGATAAAAAAAACTACACGCTGCAGAAGTTAGTTTCCTAAATAAATTGTTCAAAGTCCTTCATTCAGATCGCCTAAATGTCCCGTGGAGCTTTTTCTAATGAAACTGAATACCACACGCTTTTAGATAGTAATCGAAGCTTACAACTTCACATTGGATGCATTTGGAAAGCAGGGCGGTGCTGTAATCATAGACGACATCATTTATAACTCAACGGCCATATACGGTTGTCGAATGGGTAAATGGATTATTTACAGTTGAATCATAACTACTTTCTCTTAGCACATTCGCAACTACAACTAGTTTTTGCATGTTATGAGTGGGCTTCTTTTCCGTACAGGCGATATTTTTTGAGAACTAATAAACATGAGCAATTGAGGATATGAGGGAATTGTAGAGGAGAAATTTCTCTACGTCTATGTGGGTATAAATGGTATGTTTGCTACTATGTGCTTCTGTGATCCTCTCTACAGAAGCCTTGCCATCAGAGTATTTTAAAGCGTTCAACTTGTATTGTGTCTATTTCTGTATATTTTTATACCCTTTTACTCTATATGATAATTCGATTTATTTTAGTAGCTGGAAATTGAATAAAAATCACCTGTCGGTCAAGTTACCAGCCAGTGAGCTCGTTTGCAGGACGGTCTCTTTGTATATTTCTAGGGAAACAACAGAGCTTTTCCTTACAGAAACTCATTATAATATCCCCATTGGATAATCTATCGATAAATTTCAGAAAGTTTACAAAAACAGTTCTGTACCTGGAAATTAAGGTCTTGAAGTGCTCTCGCAAAGGATTTCTATGTCGGGCAATTTACTAAAGCACGAAAAAGAAAGAAAAAATTTGCTAACATTTTTTAAGCGTTATTTTTGACTAGTCACATTTTCCAGTTCTCATAGACCATCAATGAGCATCAAGTAAAAGGTGTAGGGATTACAAAATTCGTCGAAAGAGTGGTGTGGCGTTTTGACTTGCTACTTGATAGAGTCATTGCTAGTTCAACTCAGAGCCCTCAAGCTTACCGTTTTGAATTTGTAGCGTTCCGTGTATTTTCGTATTTCGTCGAATATTCAGTCATTTGCACCTCTCAGGACCTAGTTGAATTCATTTCTTCACTCAACTTTTACGTGTAGGTTTCGGTTTAAAATAATCGTCGATGTTTCAAGGCACAAATGTTTACGATGACCTAGATATCTACGTTTTAGATATGTTTGAAATAAATAATATGGCCTCCCGCATTTAAAAGTTCGTCAATTAATGTGGTCAGGGCGAAACATTGTTTGAAAACTTGGCGCTAAATGGAAGGCCAACTAGCCATCTTGGCTTACCACTAATGACAGTGCCTCCACACGAAAAGAGGACTAGTTTAATCCCGACATTGAAGGAAACAGTGCGCATAATTGATTTCTGGTGTGCCACTAAAAACGTCCTCTCAAGCTGTTTAACCCAAGTTTGATCAGACATGGTTTCAGCCCCACACTACCAAGCACTTCCGGATCTCTCAAGAAAGTCGTGTTCAGCGATACAATGTGACTTCGACAAGGGTTCGTGTCTTCGAAAACTTGAAGAAAGTGGTTGGCGAACAGCTGACAAACCAGTCGGGTCAAGATCCAGTGGTATACGACGGCAGCTAAGTGGGCTACTACTGTACTTATTGCAAAGTAAACATTTTTAAATTGACACCAACGATAAAGCTGCGGCCAGATTGATGTGGAATCGAGTACTGTACCCAGAAAGAAATTTTTTTTTCTTGTTAAGCAGCGTTTGTTCAAGGATTCTATGTAAATACATCTCAATTTGTAGTATAGCATAAAAAAGTAAAAGAAAATGAGTGACCTCATGCATACAACCATGTAGGAAGCCATTTCATTAAGAAATGCTAAGCTGGTACCTGCATTTTTGCTGATAGTGATGGCCGATGGTGATTATAACAACAGTCTTCCTGTATTAAAGGGCGATGCCAAATAAGGTAGCTTCATTCTAGCGCAGTTTCACCGTAAAAGATTATACTCGATTTGACGACGAAGACACCACATTGAGAAGACGAACGTCTGTGAACCATTAACTTGCGTTATCGGCCTTGAGGAAGGTGAAAACGTTGAAACGTTAGCCAAATAGATCGACCTCGTGTTAGTTTAATATTTTAAGAGGGTACTAACTAACTGGAGCTATGCAAAAAAAACAAACTCTTACTCCGCTCTACCTTAACGAAGAAAATAAAGCACAGAGTTGTGACCTCAAGGCTCCCCGTGGTGGCCACAAATTCTACACTTTTACTACCAGGCGGTTCGAAAATTATTGCGGGATTTAAACGTTTGCTTTAAGGTGGCACATTTCGCCTCTGGAAACACATTATTGGTAGATAAAAGTTTGCAACTTCTGGTCGATAGAACTCTGGAGTTCTGGAGGACATGAAGAGGAAAGACAGTTTCGGCCTTACGTTGGCTTCCGGAGCACTTCTCACGAGGGAAGATATCGACATGGTTAAGGAAGCCGTAGTCGGTAGACTGTAGATTTGGCGAATATGGTAGGTGAAACAAAGTTTTCTACCCTAATTTGGTCAATTCTTGCTGCGTTGGTACTACTACGCGTTGTTACGTGTTTTGGTGGAAAATGACTAGGGGCTTTCTTTCAGGCATTGCGAAGAGAAGCCATCAAGTTTTTAGTGTGTTTCGTAGATTCGCTGAATATGTTTTTTGGCCATTATCATTTTACCTGCTTTATGCAGATCAGCGAACCGGTCAGCTTGGCCTTCTTTTGGTACGATTTGGCCTTGGGAACTGTCGAAGAGCTTCGTCGCGGCTCAGCCACCGAGCCAATCGTCGCCGGTTTCTAAATAGGAACCATTTCCCAACGTACGTCAAAATATCTTCGTCAAAAAATTTTTTCGAGAAACGGATCGTTTTACTTGCTAGGAAGGAGCATGCTTCCAAGCGGCGATGTTTTCGATTTTCACTCAATTCGTGCAGCATTCGTGTATAGAGCTTTTTCGACTTTCCAACATTTCTAGATGATCAGAAAGCGTTGATACGTTCACACCAAGTTCTTCTGCTAGTTCTTGAACATTTGCATGTACATATGCTTCCATGAAGGCCTTCAATTCATCATAGTTAATAGGAGAAGTAAGTCAGCAGTGTTCCTCATCTTAAAAGTAGAACTCCCTATAACGAAATTTTTAAAACTAAGTTTGCACTGTGCGTTCGTTAACTCTTCCTTGCTCCTATACATCTTGGTTGATTCGAGCGGTTCTAATTGTGCACGTCAGAGTTTGAATTCGTATAACTAGAATTGTCGAAGTAGCTGTTTTGACAACTAAATTTCTAACCCTTGCTATTTTTCAAAAACGCAATTCTTAACATAATTCAACTGCTTATGCAAAAGTGTTTATAATTAACTTTGGATTAATATACAACAGTACATCAGTCGACAAAGTGCTAGTAGTGAAACGTACACGAGAAAAAGGAGACGAAAAGTCCAATCTCCGATCAACCTAGTGAAATCAACAGGAAACTCTAAGCGATAGATTGTCGCCTTCCATTGCAATGGGCTAGACATTTTCCTTCATCATTCAAATATGCGATTCGCAATGAAAAGCCGCTCCACAAATATGTTTTTATAGGATACAAAACTAAGACAGGAAAGTGTTTGAGAATGAACACCGTACTAGAAAATTCGGAGTGGATTTATATAAGGATAGAAACCTTCAAGTTGGACTTTGTGGTACTATCCAATAACACAGTTCACGGAGATCGGAGACCGATCATGGGAAAACGAAAGATAGCCCATGGTCCCTCAATAACTCTGAAGTGTAATCATTTTGCAGTAACTGATAGCAGTGATGCTTAAAAAGGCCGGTAAAAAAGAGAATTCGAAATTGGTTTAACTAAATGACTGTGAATGGGAAAAAAGCGTGGAAAAAGAAAATTCATGAAAATCGCTTGCTGTGAAGTGGAACTAATCACGAGCATTGGTTTTGCGGATGAGTAGACCACATCTTATTTGTACTTAAGAAAGTAGAAAAATGATGGAATATGTGTTAAACTGTTATATAAGGAAGTCAGAGCCAGAGGACAGTAAACAGTTTGCAAATCTGACAAAGAAGCCACATACAGCAGCGGGTGAACGAATCTCACGCTCATCTGATCGACTTGAAATTCACACAATGCACAGAGTATACACAGAGTGCTTGAAGGATCCCTTCTATAATATGTCTGCATAGAAGGCATCAGTGCATTCATTTGGTACGAAGTGTAGAACTATAGATCTTCCGCTTCCAGTGTGGAGATGACAGGTGGACGAGAAATACTGGATTGGGCTTTATCAAATAGCCTGATTCAAAGTTCCGTGCGTCTTTTCTGTGCTAGAAGATATGCACATTTTGACCTTAAGCGGATGCGTAACACGTCAAAATGCACACACGTGCCTATTATTCATTGCATCTGGATTAGTAAATTTGGCCGTAGTCCTATCAACTTAGTTTAAGTGGTCCCAGCTTTTATAATGATTGTTGAACACTATTTCGCTTATTTGTATTATATTTAGATGGGTCATTTACGTATGCCGTGGGACCTGGAACTTCATCATTGACATTGGGACCGTTTGAATTACCTCGCAGCTTTGGTGTCGAATTTTGCTTTTATATAGCAAGTTATCGTAGTCGCTTGGCGATATACTTCACGAAAACCCGTGAGAGCAAGCGAATAAGGTAACACGGTTTGAAACTTGATAAATATTTTTTCATATCAAACGAATTGAATATTTCTATTTTCTTGTAGGTGTATGATGTTTTTTTTACCAAGAATAGCACGAGAAAGCACAGTGCATTTTAAGGCCTTGATCAACGCTCGGTCTTCTAGTTTTTAGTTTGCCTTCGTGAACAGCCTTTCAGGTCTACATAAGGTTAAAAAACTCCTTGTCTTAGCCAACATTTAAGAGATATTATTATTCCTAGATTTGTAGTAATTCGAATTTAGTGTCCTCAACTCAGTTACTTCATTTTATAAGCGTCTTCAAAGCTGTAATGGGAGTAAAAAGTTTTTTCAATTTCTTATAAGATAGTCAAAAAGTTGTCTGGATCAGGTCATTGGATTAGCCTGACGCATGGCTCTAGTTCACGCGTGATGACAAGACACTCCTCCTTGTGGTTCATTTCTGAATTTTTGTAATTGATCCAAAACGCTTCAAGAGTTTTACGCGCTGATGTTTTCGATTCGTGCGTGAGGATAGTGACTCCTACTTCAAGATCTTCTCCGTTGTGTTCCTGCATCCTATGCGCGCCTAGTGGAGTGTTTAGTTTTAATTTAGATTTACCGACTAGGTGTTCTTTTATGCGGACGCAGAGCGGTCTACCCGTTTCGCCAACGTAATCGTCCCCGCACGCTTTACTTTAGATCAGATAGACTGTGCCCGAACTCTTGCAATCACCGTCTCTGCCGTTAGGGCAAATTATTCAGTTTTTCGTTATACATAGGCGGTCATATAAGCGGTTGCGAACTAGCTGGCGTCTTAGAGTGTCCGATGGTACTCCTATCACTCTTACGAAATTCGCTAGACCGACCCTTATTAAGCAACGTTTTATAGCGGCACTTATTTCGTTTGAAATAAAGGGCAAGAGGAACGGAAACTTGTTCTCGCCAAAATTATCGTTCTGGGGCGTGGTTTTCCCTCTATGCGTTTTCCGAGAAGCTACAGTTCCGTAACCCTTTGAAATGGCCATTTGGCGCACCAATTTCGAGGATTCTTTCCTCTAATCTCCACCTGTGCACACACTAGCAGCGGTTCGAAACATAATTCTTATAAGCGCCCTTTTGGTGTGCGAGTGATGAGAAGAGAGGTAATGAGCCAAAATATTCCTACTGCTTCCCTTTCGATACCATTTTGTGTTGTAGCCGTTTTCGGATAGGTTGATTTGAACGTTTAGAAATGGAAGCCAGTCTTCCTTCGGTTTCTCTTGTGTGAATTTTATGTACGCTGACTGTACGTTCAATAAATCAAAGCATTTGTCCATCTCCTATTGCGTGGAGCAAATGACAAAACAACCGTCTATATACCTACAGTAGAGTAATGGCCTGAGATCGACTTGTGATGCTTCCACTTTAGACATTAAGGCAACTGCAAGGGTTTGTACCAGTAGCTGTCCCATTGTCAACCGTCTAATTCTTGCGTCATACTTCCTGGGCCATCTGAAGATCAAGCAGTTTAGGCATACCTTTAAAAAGGACTATAAGCTGCTGAATCGAAATGCGATACATGTTAATTGCTCCTTCGTGTTGCTCAAGAAGTTCGTGGATGGCTTGCATTGCGGAGTCATTCGACACAGTGTAAAGGGGGGTAACGACGAACGATTCCATAACGTACGCGCTTTTGGGACGCGCGTTATGTAGGCCATCTAGAATCATTTGGATGGTCGTGAGATGGGCTGGTATGTGCTTAAGGGACTGGTTAAGATCTAGATTTACAAATCAGGCAACTCTTTCCTTAGGCCCGTCTACAGAACTGATAATGGGTCTAACTTTGAAGGTGGTGGTGTCGGTAGACATCAAATCATCAGGGGATAATAACTTATGAGTTTTAATAAATAAGTCATCACACGTGACCTAGCGCCATACCTCAGGTTGATCCAATGGCCTGACAGGCACATTCCCCGCCCGTGTATTACTTTGTGCGGCTGCTATCCACCAGCTAATTGAAATACAGCGAAAATGGCTCTGAAGAAGGTGAACCCGCCGAAACGTCAGCTATTTATTCTAATAAGTTCTATAATACCAACCTCGTGTATGCTTATTGAAGAAAAACATCGAATTCAATCAATGCTGACGTTAATAGAAAGTCGGTCTCAGGAATGTATGGTTTTCTCTAAAGAACTTCTGAAAGTCCAATGCACATGAAGTCTACAGTCCATATAGAACATTTTGACTTCTACGTCGTCACAGGCTGACGACAGTATGTAGATAACGAAGGTTGTCAAACCAGTATTGATCCAAATCTCTTCAGCCGTAAACGTCCAAGTCGTGTTTTTAGTTTTTCTAATGAGTCGATGTTTAAGGTCAAAATCGTGTTGACAAGAACGGCGACGCCTGCGACTCCGCTGTTGTCGCATGTCCGAATAACTGCTCTTCTTCATTGTCATTGACAGAGTTGAATTGGCGGTGTCCTTTCTTCGCACCTGTCCGATGATCTCGTACTTTATTCACCTTACTTTCATCATGAAATCCTTTATCGAAGACTCAGATTCTGGTGAGCATGCTTTCTGAGTACAGATCGTCATCTCAGTCCTTCGAGATTTAGGTAGATGGGAATGGCCATGAGATTTTAGCAACCTCTCCGTGCTCGTCCCTGACGACTGGATATACTCACGGATAGCTTGCCAATATCTTCCAGAGGTAGCGCGGAGCGTTGGAGGCGACTCTTAACCTCTCCCATTATATTCCCCTGTCACTTAATTGAAGATTTTGGCCGATTTGACTTATAGAATAGAATCACACAAACGATAGCACACTCATGCCCGCATATGTGAATAAGTCCTCGTAAACAGAAGGTTCGTGCCAATTCGATGAGCTTGAAACAGGAAGTTAATTCCCTGGGTCTATACATGGGTCTCAAAAATCAAAGGCCGCTTTTGGTCTATGATTAACTCTCTATACTGCGTCGGCTCTTGCTTTCGATAGAGATATTGATTTCGTAGAGAACAGCAGTTTCTTTCCTCTATGGGGTTGTAAAACTTGATGCCTAAATTGTGGATAAAAAAGTTTCAGGCACAGTTTATCTGGTCATAATTAGAGTTAATGCGATCACCTTTTACTGGACGAGATCTATAGCGAAACATCGTTTTGTGAAGTTTTAAGAAAAAATTCTTCGAACGTGCACTTTTTCGCCCTCTTCTATCACTTTTACACCTTTGATAGCATCTGCCAAGGATCCTTTGCAGCTATCAATCAGACTACTCATACGAAGTCCGTTAGGTCGCGTTAAGCTGTGGTCTTCATCGATTGTGCAACTCTTATTGGTGATGGAGATCCCGTTTAGATTTCTTCAGAGGTACTATTTCGGAAAGTAGGCGAAGAGAAGTACTTTCCCAAATGCCTTCACTCTTTTTGTTTTGTCAACGACGAAAATTCTTTTTCTGTTTTTGAGCAAGCGAACTCTTCGAATGGTGAAAGTTCTGTCTGATTTTCTAATGGGGCTTGAAATGGCTTATTTTAGTGCAATTAGTTATATACCTTAAACACCGTTAACAAGTCAAACAAAACCAAATTTGAATTAATGTTACAGAACAAAAGCAGAAGCAGTCTAAGTTAGGCCTTTTCTGAAATGAAGAGCTAAATTATCACTTTGCAAATAATTTCTTCACTCATTGTCAAATTTACACCCACAGTTGAAGACAAACGGCGGTGTTTTTTTGACCTAAAATTTAGAAAGTCAGTCCATTGAAAATTACAAATGTAAGTTGAAAAGGATATTATTAAGGCTTTACTTGACCAATGACGTCACTGGCAATGCGCACTACTGGATATGCGACAAAATCTTCCTATCCAGTGGGACGTACGATACGGTAACGACGATTTTCCAATTTCAGAACGAACGACACGCATCTGTCGCTTATACGAGACCAAAACGCTATTCTTAACTGCTTCATCCAATTATTTAATAATTCGCTGCAAATTTTACAGCAGTCGTATCAATCTGCTTCGATAATGCGAAACTCAATCCGAACTAAAACTTTTCTATGGTGGGTAACGAACGCGCTATTGTCCTTTCCGGGGAGTAACGCGTTCACTACCACACCATGCTGGTCTTTTGTTTCGCCTGTCTCTCAGCTATTTCTATCGATCTTTTGCCATGAGCAATCACCCGTCAGCGGGATTGATCTCATATCTCAGCAACGTTGTGGTTGTATTTCGCGTAGAACCCTGCCGCGAAATTATAGTAGGCAGAAAATAAGAAGGTATAAAACTTTTCTGTCTGCAGCGTCATTCGAAGCATTTGTTTCAGATCGAATTCTCGGCGGAAGGAATGAGGAATGAATTTTCGTATGTGGGTCTTGATCAAATTGACGTCTACGATCCAATCCTAAAAACGTCGGGATGTAGTGGAAAGTCAAATAAGGGATTTGAAAACCAGGACTTTGAGTAAAGTTGATTTGGGCACGAGCTCAACTTTCAACATATGTAGACACATAATCGTCAACTATAATCGTGAAGACGTTGTGCCAATTGAGGGGATGTCATAACAATTTGTTGATCAATTTCCTCGTAGTGACCACTGAAGATGTTAATCGCCAGACAGTTCTTCAGCGGTCAAGTGTTTCATCATTGAATATCCTAAATTTTCGTTGACTGTATTTTCACACGATCACCATAAGAGATAAAATGGCATACTTATTGTGAAGTGTTAAAGTATTATCTTTCGAAAAGTTTACTGAAACACACGGGAAATACATAAATATTTCAAACACCCATTATCTAACACGCCAATGAAGTAAAGGCGAACACGTAGAGAAACATTTATTATAGACACGCATAAACTTCTTCTATGGAAAACAATCTGGTTCAAAAATATCACTTGCGCGATAGGAGAAAGCGGTGATTATGATGTTATTGAAAACACGCAAAGCGCTGGTTCGAGGCCCACCAGGTCTCTCTAGCCTTCCACCTTCAAGGAGTTAGTACCACATTTCTTTGTAATGGTTCCACGAGCCCACAAAGCGTAGCAGCTCCCCAGTAAATCTATGCTGGAATGAATTAAACAGCTAGAATCTAATCGATAAGCAATCAGTGATATTCATAAAAAAACCCAAAAATCCCCAAGCAGTAGTCTTGTCCACATGTTAAGTCGAAGGTATTTGCGGATGTTGGGTGCAAGGAAACAAATAGAATGTGAGAATTGGTGGCATCCGCGCAATATGCGATGTCGGGTGATATAAAAAAGGCATCATTTGCACGCTTTTTAAAAATAACGATGTATCCCTTAGCATGTAATAAAGATTATGAATTGAAACAAAAACCACTAGAGTTTATAGATCCTTGGCCACAATCTTCAGCTTTCTTGCAGTACTGCGCAAAAATTCTAATATTGCACAGCTCAAACACTTTTATTTTTGCCTTTTTGATCAATCGGGCGACCTCAAGCTGCTACGCGATAAAAGGGCACGACGATGTACCCTAATGGGTGTGTAGTGTTGGCCACTGCAAGGACAGCTTTTTTTTTCAAAATTTCCTAGTTTTTAACTTAGGAACGAAAATCAAAAATATTACCGTTGTAAACTGACTTTCATTTAACTTCTGAGCCTATCTAAAGCTGAATGCTGCTGGATCGATGCTCAGGATAATTACAAGTGATCATTACCGGACAGTCATAACAACAACAGCTGTTCTTTATAAGAAATTCTTCGGGTGAGGTCGCCACATTCAAGCGAAGCTCCGCTGAAGATGATTCGTTTAGGTACGGCGACCAAGAAAGCACACTGAAAGTAGGGAGGACAGTGGACATCGATTCGCTTCATCGACCCTGTCGAAGACGAAGGCGTCGAAACATTAGCTGAATAATAATTTTGTAACAACCTTGTGTCAGCTTATTAATGAAGCAAGGTACATCAAAAATAAGAACTGTAGTGGTTTCTTCTCGAGAGGATACAAGGTTATCAATAACAAGATCTATGTTATAAAAGGATAAAGCTCTCGCCGTTGATCAATCTCTGAGAGATGCGCCGTGCATTCGACACCATTATGTATCGTTAGAGGTGATTGAATGCATATTTGGCCTTTACAGTGACTTGCAGTGGTCTTCCGGTGTATCGAGTCAGTGTTGCTATCCTCCCAGACAAGTCTGGTACCAATTTGCCGACTCCGGAGGGATGGAAGGCTTGATGGGCCATAGGCGCGGAGGTCAACTCCACGTGTGTCGCAGTGGTGCCCCCAACCATTGTGTCACACGCGCCTTTCATTTATTCTATAATGGTTGACTTTTCGACGGATTCACTTCCTTCAGAGCTTGGAAAGGTGAAGTTGACATGTTATGTACCCAAAAAGCACTTCATAACCCATGGAGAAAAACTCAACACATATGTTTCATTAGCGATGTAAACAGCTTCTTTTAAGCGCTCACGTTCTTGCTCTTTATAAGTCTTCCAGCTATTGCTGAAGACTAGCTCCACGGAGCATGAGGAATGTGCTTTGCCTATGTCAAGCGAGGTTACTTTTGCTCACAAGGCACTCCTTATATGTTTTTGGGTAGTTAGAATTTACCCAAACTGTTTTAGATGGTTTGCGAGCAGGTGTTTTGAATTCATGCGCAAGGAGAGTGATGTTTACTTTAAAATCTTCTCCACTGCATCTTGGTGTTCTATGCGTGTCTAGTGGGCTGTTCTGTTGGCGTTAAGTTTCCTACCTAGCTGCTGTTTCATAAGGACACAGATTTGTCCACCAAGTACACCGTGCTAAAACTCGTGCAGTCGCTATCTTTGCCGTTAGGGCAAATTATGCAAATTTTTGTCGTACATAATATTCACCCCCAAATAATGTTCAAGGAAAAGGATTTCGGCATTACAGTCTTCCTCAGTGCCTATAACGGTATGCTGATCTGCTATTTACTATGATTTGGTTGCTGGAAAGCAACGCACCGTACTCATAATAAGCTGCGACAAAAATGTATGTAAAGCAAAGTCATAATAGAATTAGTATGTAATTATGATAAGAATGTTAATGATAGCAATAAATATAGTGAAGAAGCACGATTTTTAGGACTATCGTAGGAGACTATCAATGCTTTACCGCCTTAAATTGGCAGGTGTTGCACATGCCCCTTGAATTTTTCCACACATCGTTGAATTGTTATCGTGCTTGAATACCGGTACTCTTCAAAAGCATCACGATGTTGCCATAAAAATAATCGTTTACTTTTCACACAATTCCTCTCCGTGGTGGATAAACAGTCACAGCCTTCTCATCGCCGAAAGAGGGCACTTGAGACGGTTTTAAAATGGCCTGATGAGTAACTCACTATCCCGCACGTAACATCACGGCTCCGCGGAAGACGAAGTAGCCGAAACGTCAACCATCGATCAGTAACATCAAAAACAACGGCAGCGACAACGAAGATCTGTACCAACCTCGCGTCAGCTTAAGAAGATCAGTTTATAAGATCACATAAATAAATATATCAACTATCTATGCCGAGGTTTATAGAAAGTCGGTCTTTCGAGTTATTAATTCACTATCATCGTTTTAAATTCTTTCTCGACATATTAATCACTCAAGGAAAAGCATAATCCTTTAACTTCTCAAGATGGCTGTTTTCCTTTCAATAGTTGAAAATCTCAAGCTTAAAGATGATCGTGTCTTCGTGAACAAGAGAGCGTGATAAAACTTACTGAGATAGTCAGGCTACTGAAGTAGAAGTGCTAATTACAATCTGTGAAAATGTGGTTGATAAAATCATACACTTATTTACTTGGATAATTGGAAAATTATGGAATTACTTATGTGGATACTTAGATGGTCCGTCATAATGAGTTGTGTCGATCCCAGCACATTTGACATTCGTTTCTTTCCCTCGTAATCGTCGTCCATGGTAATGATTTTGTCCGAGCATGGTGGCGCGCGGGAGTCTCATACTGCGGTCTGTAAGACAACAGCAGCTGCGGGTACAGCTGATTAACATTTTTTACGAACACGTCCACACAACGTGTAAGTGACCGTCCTAGGGGATGTTTGCTTTCTCGTGGGGTCCACTCTGCAGTTCATTTCGTTCACCTGTCGTCTGTTCTTCTCTTTATGTGGCTGGGCTGTCTATGTTTCGCTATCAATATATATTCTCCTGGATCTCGAAGATGTGACAGATTTCGAAGGTCAGAGCGTTGCATTCCGGCTTGATATTGAGAGCGCCGACTATATTTCAGATGACATCGCTCAAGCGCTCCGTGAGTAGTGCGGAGTATTCTTGACGTGGTAGAAGTACCAGCCCACGTCTCTGCAGCATTCGTTGAATCGAAAAGGTGAACGCAGATTTTCGGGTCTTTCAATCGGTCCGTGGTCTCTTTGAGAGGCCCGAACGCAGCCGAAAGCTGCTGTCCTTTTTCTGTCTAGTTTTTCTTTCACGTTGTTTTTCATGTTCATTGATCGCCTAAGGTATACGTACAAGGTGGTCTGTGCAATCAGAGAGCCATCCAGTTCAATTTTTTCGCCATCGCACCATTTCTTTCGATTTATGCGTGGTCCGGTCATTTTACCCACTTCGTTGAGCTCTTTGATTATGGTCTCTGCTTCGTTCGTACTTCTTGAAAAGATGACGATGTCGTCGGCGAAACGAAGATTTGGTAGGAATATTCTATCAATACGTGCCTTTCTCATCCCAATCGAGTGACTTCATTATCCACTGCAGTGCGGCACTGAACAGCTTTGGCGATATTGTGTCGCACTGTCGAACTCCTTTCTCCATGGGTATTGTAAGAGGTCGATGGAAAAGATGTATTTTTGTAGTGCAGTTCCGATAACAGAGAGAGTCCTTATGCAGGACGGGTCCACTTCTTGGTGGATGAGTGCTGATAGGATTCCATTCGTTTCGACACTGTTAAACGCTTTCCAGTAGTCGACAAAAGTTAGGACTAGAAGCAGGTGGTATTCCCGAAATTATGGACTAATCGTTACCCCTCACAGCAAATTGTTCAGCTCTTTATCGTTGTGCACAGCTAATTAAAGATGGCGAAGGTTGATGCCAGTCTTCTTGTTGTCACGGGCCGCTTTGCCACTTAGTTCCAGTACTTCAGCAGCGACGTACTCTAGTACAGCAGCCATATAGACTGGAGCACAATCTCCAATACGACCTATATAGTTGCCTTTGCGAACCACACAATGAAGTTGATGGACGGGGAAATTCAAACCGGCACGTGCTGATCGGGAATTGGATTTGCCTCCGGTATTCACTCAACCTCCTTTTCCATGGCCAGACACTATGATGACGTTGCTAGACGGACAGCCGCCAAATTAGGTGATGTTTAACACGAGTCAACGTGGTGAACAACTGGTCGATATACGGAGAAAATTGAATGTACTGAGTGGACACCATTAGGATTTCGGAAATCTTCTCATCGATGGTTAGTGCAATGCCACTTAACTAGCATATGTCGATCTTGGTGTTTTGATTTACACAACTTCTACTCTTAGAGTCATCTTGACGTAACTATGAGTTGGATCGATAAGCACCTGTGCACAGATATAATTAAGAAATAGATGTATAGTCTGTGTCAATAAAACCTATACGTTTTGTGGATAATATTGAAACGATCTCTAGAGTGGCAAACAAATGATGGTTTTGGAATGAGGCTCCGAATTGTTTGACCCAGTACCACCAATTTCACCATCATCCGATTCTTCAAAATTATTATAGTCGAAGTGCACAACAGGTTCCACATTATCATAATCGACTTCAACATTTTCCTGAACACTGAAAATGGATGATTAAGAAGGGAAGAGTTTCAGTTAGTCTTATACTATGATGATACGACCGTATAAAGTTCAGTTCTTAGCCAATAAAATTTTAAAAAAAAAGCCATAAACGTAGAGCTCTACTAAAGTATAAAGAAGGGCAAATAGTATTTAGACGATGTCGATGGGAGTAAAATCAACTGCGCAAAACAGATGTGTGTAAAACAAGGCGAACACAACAAAAGAATATGGGAAAAGGTGAGAAGAAACGAAAAACTGCAAAAATGTCGCAAAACACAGGTTTACACACCATTTGAGCGAATCTTCTAGAAAAGAAAAGAAGCATTTTTGAGAAATGGAGCTCTTTTATTTTGGAAAGGAATAGCATATTGCGGACGCAAATCTGCCCTATTTGCGCACAGCGTATAGCTATTACGACATCGGTGATTAGATTAGCCATAGGGAGTAAGGCGCTCTAGTAAAATAAATTTTTAATATCAGCAATGTTCAACATGCTCTCCGGTCAATGAAGACCGACTGCAAAGAAGCCCATAAGTTTAGTAAAGCGAACGCTACTAAATGGCTGGCTACTTCGGAAAAGCACTTGAAACTAAGTAAGTTAAATTTTATGACGACATTACACGTTTTTTGAATGATTACCGTAAGATTTATGTGTCGTATAAGTTTGAAAATTTCTTTTGGTAGATTGAATTTCTACATGCAACTTGCACTTTAAAGCTACGTTTAAATAATTTTAAAGAATGATTCCCAAAGGTTCTTCGTAAAAGTAATTTTCAAGTGCGCCGTGCATGGGGTATGGGAAATATGTTCGTAACACCACGGATCTCCATCACATGAGGGATTTCAAGTCGCCTAGTCGCAAGGATACGTGACGCGTCCCCACATAGAGGACGAAAAGCAACCTTTGCTTCCCTGAGACGCAGATGGATAAAAGGATAGGTTCCCTGTTTCTGCTACGCCGATTTGGAACATATTTTCTGTCTTAACCCTTTTATTTACTGCATTTTTTCTTTTTAATGGCAGGGCATGTTACGAAATATAACTCGTATATAATGCTGAGATATTTCTAAAACTCCGGACCGCAGGTGTATCCGGTGGGGAACGAACACGCGCTGTTGTCCTTACCGGGGAGCAGCGCACTTCACCACCACACCATCTGGGTCCTTCGTTTTGCCTGTCTCCCAGCTAGTTCTATTGATCTTTTGCCATCAGCAATCACCCGTCAACGGGATTGATCTGGGGGGCCCAAATCGGCATTGAACCTAGTTAAGCTGAGGTTTAGTTATAAAGAAAAAGGCAGTAAATAAAAGGGTTAAGATTGTGATTATAACTAAGCCTCAGCTTAACTGGGTTCAATGCCGAT